GAAAGTGGGACAGAGCGATATTTTGTACTCTCGTGAAAGTTCAGTGAGCCTTGTGATCGTGTGGATGTGGTCTATGGTACTAAATCCTTTTCGGAACCCTGCTTGTTCGCATGGCTGTCCTTCGTCCAGTGTTCTGTTAACCCTGTTTAGGGTGGCTCGGGTAAAGAGTTTAAGGCAGCGAATAGCAAGCAGATTGGGCGATAATTGCTACGTCGTGAAGGTCTACCTTTTTGAAGAATAACATGGTCTTGCCGGTTTTCCACCGAACAGGCTCTTTACACTCTGACAGGTAGTCAGTGAAGAGCTGAGCCAGGGTATTGATGATAACTGGTGGTGGGTTCTTCAGGTGTTCTGATCTAATTCTCTCTGGACTATACTATGTCTCTGATTTTCCAGCAAAGATTTCTCATAATCGTAGAAGTTGCCACAAAAATCAATTTATGATTCTACCAATCAAAGAAGATAGCGCACCATTATTTCTTTTACGGGAGCAGTCATCGGTCGAAAATTATAAAAGTTCAGGAAAAAAGTTTCGTTTATGAAAATAGACCATTGGAAAGATAGCAACCAAGACAGAGGCTTTTCCGGCCTTTCCGATAAGATAAGAAGGCCTTTAAAGAAGTCACCTGTAAACCAGAGTGTCAGAGTAATTCGGATCTCAACTTTAAGATTATTTTACAAATGGCTACTCGTTGTAAAAAAATCAGCGACTTCTGTTTTTACCGGTTTTTACGACTATGTTGTGACAAATGCACGGAAACCTGATGAGTATTTTGCAATATAAGCCCTCCTTTGACAGACCACTGGCATGCGTGGCTCAAAAATGACTGCAAGACATATTGAATTTTGAGCTGTGATCTTAAGAAAACACTCGAAACGAAAGATATGATGTATTGAATATACTAGCCACGAGCAATCGAGTGTACAACACTCTGTGTTTGGTGAGTTCTTCACTGCACATAGAGTGTAAAACGTTCGTCGTCGCTAACTCTTAGTGTGGGGACTGAAGCACCCACAGAGATTAGCAAAAGACGAGAAAGGTTGAGTGCCCGACTGACGAGATCGCAAGATCGAAACACGTGTAGCGAGCTCTATAATTCAGCCGCTTTCTAGCAGACCACACGACATGCGTGGCTCAAAAATGATTTTGTGGCATATTGAAATTTGAGCTGTGGTTTTAAGAAAACACTCGGAACGAAAGTTATGATATATTTTGCAATAATCTCGCGGACTTGTATGGAATATGTAGATAACTCCTTGACAACCACGTGTACCGTTTTCGGTGCGTATGCGCCGCGCTGGGGCGGGCGCGGCTGGTTCGTATCATAATGCGCTTCTATGTAAATAGAAATTTATTTGTTGATTGAGGCTCTGGGGGAACATTTCAGCATTAAGTAGTGAAACATCGCAGAAAGGACTTCTTTAAAAAAGTGTTTTGGTAAAGAAAACGTCTATCTGCAAAAGTCGCTCTAGGTGGCAGCTAAAGAACCACATCTTTTTGAAATTAAGCTTATTCCCAGGTGTTTTATCAAAAAGGCTTCTTTCTTTTTCATGTATGTCCATGTACTCGTTGGCAGCCTGAAAAATTGCGATTCTCAGGCTATGCTTACTTTGTTTGGGGACTTTCATATTAGACTCTCCTACCGAAAAAAAGACAAGGTTTGCTCCCGAAGTGAGCTGTTCCATTTCCACCAACGGGTTTTCTGGTATTACATAGTAGAATTTTGATGTTAAGTATACTTTTTTGCGATTAAAAATTGTACTGTCATTAGATGAGTTTCTATGAACGTATTTACAATAAAAGAAACACTTAACTGGTCTTAAAAGTCCTTACCTTTCATCACGAAATGCGTGGAATACAGTCGGAATGTATAGAAGTGCTCGTGTTTTCTTACTTTTTGAAAAGGGCTTTTTCTGCAGATTATCAAAAATCATTCGGTAGCTTGAAAACGGAAGATTCTAGCAGCAAGCTAGTTTTCGGAGAGCACGAACTGAAATCACAAGAGAGAATTACGTTTCGCTACCGGAGTACACTGTTGCAACTTTACAGCGAAGTTTTGGCTTATATCGAAAGCATTTGATAATGATCGAACTTGATTTAATGATGAGACAATAGAGAAGAAACTTTTATAGAAAATTTCGAAAAAAGAGAATCTCTCACGTATCGAATAATTATCTATGTTTTAGTGAGAAAACCATATTGTTGTGAAGGTGGACATATTTACGGCTGTATATAGCATTTGCTTCTTTCTTAGACTTTTTTACTGATCAATAGCTTGAAAATTCCGATTCTCAGGTGTGCTTAACTCGTTGAGGGACTTTCATATTACGATTTCATAACAAAAAAAGGTTTTGCTCCCAAAGTGCGTTGTTCCAGTTCCACAAAGGATTTTTGGACATTATGTAGCATGCTTCTGATGTTTGATAAACTTTCTCGCTTTGAAAAGTTAGACCATCATTAAATGGGCTTCTATGATCGTATTTTAAGTAGATAGACATTCTGTTGATCTTCAGGTCCTGACTTTTCATTAATTTGAGTGGATTGCGGTCGCAATATACCAAGAGTGCTTACGATTCCTTTTTTTCTAAGCGGAGCTTTTGCCTTATAGCTCATCATACCCAATAAAAGAATGATAACTTTTTGCAGTTGGAATTCATTTATGCAGCATCACAATTATTTTGGCTCTGTATAGTGAGTATTTGGTCTCAAGAAAACTTTATAGTATGAAGTATTGAATGTTACTGCAAAGGTTTCTATAATTTTGTTTTGAGTAGAGGGAGTGCCTAGTTTTCCGAAATATTCTCACTTTTTGATGCGATTTGTAGGAACTGCAATACAATTCTGTGACATGTGCTCTTGTTTCGTTATCTATTTTACCCAGAAAAGTATTTTCATTAGACTATTTGTAATCAGTCAACAGCTTGGGAAATGAAGATTTTCGTACTCAGCTTGGTTTGTGAAAAAGCCTTCTTATCACGCTGTAATAAATGAGAAGAGGACTGCGTTTTGCTTCTGGACTAGATAGCTCGTTCCTCAAACTTTACATTAGCTTTTTTGGCACTTATACCATTGACTTTTGATTATTGGGTAAATTTATTGTTATGAGAAGATAAGCTATTGATTGGAGAGGTTTATTTCTTCCATGGAGTATGCCCACGTTTCCAGAAGCTTCCACTTTTTAATTTGAAAGGTACATTATTGGAAAAGCATGCTTCCAGCCCTTACTACTACTGGTGGAAAGGATGACCATCTGAAGCAGATGAGCAACAAGAAGGTCTTTGTTCTACTGTTGAACATCTAACCACATGGTTGTGGTCACACTGGAGTCTATGGAAAACAGAAACTGCATTGAGCCCATGAAGTCGTCTTGAGAACATTTGACTAAAAGGAATACGTAGAGGGCGTAAACGGTGCGAATGTCCAGCATCAAAGTCACCACGATAAAATGTGCTCGCAGTACAGATTGAGCATGCTTAATAAAAAGTTAGTATTCATAAGACGATAGAATAAAGTCTTTTTGTTATCCAAAAAGGTTCCAACTCCAGGAATTCACTAATAATCGGTAAATGATTGAGAGTTACTGGTAAAGTGGCATCGCATGCAGTGTGCAGTATGATTTTTAGAAAACATTTGGTTTTCTCATTCCCAAGCACTATCATGACTTTGGGGTATTTCACGTAATGAAGCAGCCTTTTACTCAATTGTAAGCGAGCGAAGTTCTGCATATGATATTTTGGTCCTTTCACCAATCAGCACCCATAAGCAATTCATTCTTTTTTATGTGCTAGTGACTATTCGATGCCATGAATCTCAAGAGTTTTAACGGCGCATTTTATCCTTTTAGAGTTTTTATATTATGCTGTAATAGTAAAAAGGAAGATTTATTCACATTCGAGCATCTTTCGCTGGGCACACCTATTTATTCAGACTTTCACGTATCATTCAGCAGCACAAATCTAAGCGATTTCAATAATATTCTTAGCATTTGAAGAGGACTTGTTGTGAGTTGTTACAGCTAGAACAATACTGGGTTTCACACTCGGCGCCGTATCGATCGCGCAGTTCAATTCCCATGTGACGTGCAATAATTGGCGAGCACAAACCTAAATTCTTTCAGCTGCAGCAACGAACCAAGAAGACTTTTTGAAGTACCAAGCATATCTTTGAAATCGTTAGGACTTGCGCTATCGAGTGGTTTTTGGTAATCTAAGAGGAAACTTGTGTGCAGCGAAAGGTACCAAAATGTGCACCACAATTCTATTATCAATGCTACAAAGTGTTGAGAGATTTCTTTTGAAAAGCATGCTTACCATTGAAATCCTCGAGATTTAAGCTATCAATCGTTTATTGAATGTTATGGCCTGATGTCAATATTGCAAAATTCTTCCAAATACCGCTGAAAGATATGCGTACCGAATATGAAATGCAATCCTAATTTCAGTCTTGCACAGCAACGATGTGATTATTTCGGGAAATTATAAGCATTTTTGTCGAAATTTGTGCTGTTGAGTGATCGCTGATCTTTTTGGGAAAAAGGTTTGCTTAGCAAAATGCTTGAGTATGAATTTAAGAATCTCTAGTATTTTTACTGCATCTTTTCACAATGCTATGATCATTCATATATTCCTAAGAAAATTGAGTAGTGAGCAAGAACACGGCATCTGGTGGGAATCAAACTCGCATTTCATTTACATCGGGGACGCATGCTCTATCACTACGCCACTGAAGCACATTTGCACCACCACTCATTTTCAGCATCTCCATGTCAGCTATCAACCACCATCATTTGACAGGTTTGGTGCTCTTAGGAATATATGAATGGCCATAACACTTCGAAAAATTCTGTAAAAAATACCAGAAATTTCGAATATTAGTTATCACGATGGCTGTGAACTCATCTGGGTATATAAAGCGAAATCGCATACCCGACCAAGCCTGTTAAAGGTTGGTGGTGATAGCTTACACAAAAATGTTTAAGAATAAGTGATGACGCAAATGTGCCTCTGTGGTGTAGTGGTAGAGCACGCGTCTCTTGAAAAGCGGGTTCGATTCCCGCCTGGGGAATATTTTTCTCACCACTCAAATTTCTTAAGATTATATGAAATTAGAATTTTCTTTTCACAAGATGATATATAGGCTATTCAGAAGAAGAGCACCGTTTTTTATTAGAAAACCTCTCATTCACGTAAAAATAGCACTGAACTCAACTTCATCACATTTACACTTCACTGTAATTAACTACATTGAATGTAATTTGCCAGTCCACTGCTGCTGTGGCACAATAAATCTTCATTCAATGAAAATGGGTCTCTTCAACACGTCACATTTCAATTTAGCTTCCGCCAACAGTAGCAGTCGCCGAGAAGAAGTGCGATCCAAATGGACGGGACGCCAACACTCGTACGGCCCGATTCATTACACTCTGCCACATCGCTCTCGGCCAATTAGCCAAGATAGTGTTCGTTGTCTACACAATATTCTTTCTTTAGAAAACAAATTTGTCTGGAAAGAACAATGATATTCGCACCGAAAGAGTCCCGGAAATTGTCGAGGGTGGGCCGGACACAGGCGTTATTCTAATGTTCGCGTCCATTGGCACATTACACGGTTTGTCGGGGTCCGGTCCCACATAAGTGCAAATTGCAGTCACCGTTTTGTCGACGATGATGCAAGCTCTTTCCATTGGCTTAACTGTAATAAACTATGAGCTCTAGAAAGACCTCTCTAATAATTTTTGCAAAGGTAATAGCCTTCATGCACTGTTGAAATTTGTCTTTCCATGCGGAATTATTTCCAAATGAGTGCTGGTAGCTAATGACATACTGACTTGCTGTTTGTTTTATAACTGTGCTAGATTATGGTAAGAATTCCAAACAACAAGTAAATTCGAATTATTTTCTTAGTCGAGTTAAAAATGGGTTGTAGCGGCGAGAATTCGCGGCATCAACAGCACAGTTACAGACTCTGGAAGTCGACAAGTCGGCTTGCCCAACGTTATACGGTCTGGACAAACTCGTCGCGGATGCGCAGCAGCGGTATCACATAATCGCTGGCGGCAACTACTGGCAGTTCTCCGAAACTCTGATCTCGTGGAGCGCTTTGACAACTTCATGCACGGCCAACTTTGACGGTGCGACAACCGGCCGCCTTCGACGACGCGGCACCCGCCCACTCTCCGGCTGGGGCCCGCCAAGCCGCTTTCGCAGCTGCCGCTCGGTCAGCAGTCGACCGTCTTCGGCTGTGAAGTGTGCTCTACCCACGGGATCCCGGCGGCATGCTAGAGCGATCGCAGCTGCATCGCCAGCCATGATAGTGAGATTGCTGCCGCGCTTCGACGATCGACGCCACGATGAACTCATCTCCTCAGAACTATTCGACTAGATCTCAAAATCTAGCCGAAGACTTCCCTAGTGTTCAGCTAACGGACACAGAGAATAATCCACACCATCAAAAGTCCATCTCCGACTAAATCTAAAAACCTACCCGAAGAGCCGTCTAGTGTGTAGGGTCTACCAAACTCATGCCTGATGACAGCTGTGTAACAACACGCGCTTCTCATTCTGAACAAAAGGGTCATCCCCAGATGGTCATACTCACGAAATCGCATCAGCAAGAGGACGGATTTTGCGAAAAAAAACCGCTCTTCCACCCCGACAAAAGGAGATGTTGCTGAACCTCCGGTCGAGCGTCTGCAAGAAAAAAAACCTTGCGGACAGAGCCACCCTCCCACTCCTACAAGGGAGAACTCTCTAAACATCATCTTGATGTTTCAACAGAACAGGGACAACCAAATCACTTATACCATTCTAATTTTCTTACGTTTTTACTTGATCGCGATACGTTATTTGAGCGGAACGATATCACTCTTTCTGAAAAAATCATTATCTTGGCTGGAACCTTTTTTGACCTGTTCGAAACGAAACAGGAAGAGAAGCGTCTTGTTACACAATCGCAGCGAAGAGCAATCCGTAAGGCGTGAGGCTGCTCAACGGCAGCAGTCACGACAAACACCAGAAGCAGACGGCTGCGCTCTACGCATACCGCTTCGGGCAGTAACAGTTTCAGCTGGGTGATGCTAGGGTTTAGACCTCTCTCCCTCAGCTGGGCATTTCCTTTGTCTTGTTTTTTCTCGCTTTTCTTTTCGACCTTTCTTGTTTGCTGCATTCCGTTAAACGCCATTTTCAGGACCTTTTGCTCCTTTCTTCTAGAATTCTTGAGCAAATCGCACTTGTACAAAATTTTCAGGCCTCTCTTTTCCTTGCTACAGGATGACCTCGCGAACTACAGCCACCGCGTCCTTGCGACCCGGAAGCGTAGCGGCGGCTCTGGGAATCCGTCGCTACATCTCTAGGCAGTGGCTGAACAACTTCAGGGAGCGACTTCAACGAGAGAGTCAACTAGGTCGTGCCACACCAATCGACCTTCTCTCTCCTTCTCTATAGGATGGCTCGGCGTTGGCGAGAACGTCCGCGGGTTCAGAACACTGAAGCTAGTCAGCGGCAATCACCTTCAACAAAGCCGGAGGATACATATGTTGTTTTGACTCTTTACTTCTAATTCTGCTCTCAAACGTTATCCTAGGAGGCCACCACATCATCGCGCACGAACGAGTCGACATACTCGTTCGTCGACCCTCGAGGGGCATCGCATGGTGAGCCCGGAGTGCAGCAATGGTTCCACGGAGCCGTTGCTACTTTTCTGGCCGAGCCGTGCTAGCCCGGAGAGAAAAGCGTGATATGCTCCAAAACAAACGATACATTAAATGGCGCGACCACGGCAGCTGCTGTAGTGTCATGGGGGCTCGGGCCATTCTCATAATCTGCGCGCTCCGTGAGGGGTCGCTACTGTCACTCGTCTGTTTTGGTTTAAATACCCAACTTTTAGATTATCTTAATATCCTCTATAATAAAACTGATATTCACTGGAGACGTCAACATCACTATCCGTCAGCGGTAACACTCATCGATCAATCAATGAAGCAAATTAGTGGCAACGGTGGGAGAAACCCGTTAGCATAGCAATGACCAGAGGTCGGCTGATCATGGCTGGTGAAATGAATCATAACTTTACATTCGACTGTTTTCAGACCACGCCAAAAGCAATATTTATCTGATAACATATCATGGGCCTTTCATGAGGTCTGTTATGGCACTAATATATTGTTAGACATGTGTTTCATTACAACCTCATCACTAATGATTTGAGCGATGTATGTAAAAAGAGTCAAAGATACGATTCATTTTACCAGCTAAGAGCGGCCGACTGTTGAGCACTGTGATGTCACGAGATTTTATCAGCTGACATGTGGTGATATGAAATTCGGCGTCGATACACTGTTTTAGCACTGTATAAATGCTATAACAGACCTCAAGAAAGATTACAACTTTTGTCTGCTATATGGAATAAGGATAGATGGAAATTAACTATTTATGTCGGAACATGAAAAATTATTTGATTATTCATCTTGTCTGCGGTAACGTGCGAAGGTGAATTGTTGTTGACGAATTGAATGAAAGATAAATATGATTGAAATATGGAGTAATATGAACGACATAACATTCTAGGTTGAGGTGAAAAGTCGTGATGGTTTATTCATTGTTAAAATTTGCCCTTAACAGCCACATTTCATCTGGTGCGGCACGACGTGATTGCGTAGTGAGCGCGCCGAACTGCGAATGTCATGCGGCAGTTCTCTAACAAAATTTCAATTTTCATCGACAATAAAGAGATTTTTATTGCCACATAATCATAAAGTTGATATTAGATAGCTTATCAAAGCTATTTGTAGTGGTAACACTGCCAGTTTTCCCTCTTAGAAATACGCGTGCCAAGGGAAATACGGACACGCCAGATACGCACAAAATGTATGTTCCAAACTATTATTGAGCATTTTCATGATATCTGATCCACATCCACTCATTGGTCAATCATATTTATCGTTTAATTTTCGTCTTGATAGTCTCGCTCTTATTAATGCCTCAAATGAATATCAATCAAACAATCAAATAATCAATTACTTTATCACTTTGCTTTTCTGGAAACCAAAATGACGATATAAATCTTCCGATATTGAAACTATTTCATTTACTAATACTCGACATTAATAGTATTTCTCAATGCATTCGCATTATCATGATGTTTTCTATATACCTAAGAGAGCAAAAACGCATAGCATATTGAGTGGTGAGCAAAAAACGCGTCCTCAGGCGGGAATCGAACACCCCTTCATCCTATCCGGGGGCGCTTCCTCTGCCACTACACCACTGAGGCACATTTGCCCGACCACTCATTCTTCAACATCTCAATGTTAGCTATCAACCACCAACCTTTGACAGGTTTGGTCGGGTATGCGATTTCGCTTTATAAACCCAGTTGAGCTGACAGCTATTCTAATTACCAATACTCGACATTAACAGTATTTTTCAATGCATTTCGCATTGTTATGATGTTTTCTATATACCTAAGAGAATTGAGTGGTGAGTAATTGAGAATTGCGTTTTTGCTCATCACTCAATTCTCTTAAGTATATGAAAAACTATTTCGTTCAATAAAATACCTTAAACTCATGGTAGTGACCGGAAATGAAATATCGGTCAACTGTTTGTCAAAAATGATGCTGTACACAACATGCAATGCCACTTCACCAATAACTCCCAATAACTTCTTGATCATTAATAAACCTTTAGAATTGAAACCTTTTTAAATTACAAAAGCACTTTGTTCCATAGCTTTATGGAGACTAACTTCTTATTATCCGCGTTTATTCTCTACTGCGAGCACATTTTATCATAGCGATTTTGACACTGAACATTCACACCGTTCACGCTCTCTGCGTAATTCTTCTAGCTTAATACCCTCAAAGCAACTTCATACGCCCGATCGAATTTCCACCTTGCCTAATACTCTAACGTCACCAAATTCAGTTGGTTAGACGTACGATAGTAAAGCAAAGACCTCTTTGTTGCCTATTGCATCCGATAAAACACTCTTCATATATGTTCCTTCTTCGAAATGCACATTGTAGTAAATGTGTTTTTGACTTAACCCCTTGTGAAAGATGCTTA